AAGCAAGCAAGAGCGACTGGGAAGAAAGGCCCCGTTTCTCGAGATCGTAGACGACTCTGAAAGATCGACAGTCCAAGAAATGCTGGGCGCCGACGCGAGAGTACGAAATCCGAGACGGGAGGGCGAACGGGACGAGCGACAGACGCCATTGAATTCGTAGCCATGGGCATCCATGGTTAATACGGGGTCCACAGGTGCAATTCTCAAGCCCTTAGCGTCCTTCTCACAAGTTTGAGGTAGTGAAAGTGGCACTGTCTCTGTGGGTAGAAGGTCGGCTTCCTCATTCACGAGTTTTTGTTCCAGCAAATCGCGAGTAGTGTCTAATTGGCTGTGCATTCGAATTTCAGCCTTCATTGCCAGTGTGCAATGAAAGTTGAGTGTAATTGCTCATTACCGTTTTCGGGACTGCTCTTCTTAGCACGAATTGATTGTTGTTTTTATTGAAGCAACATCCTCAGCAGAAGTCGTGTGGAAGAAGCTATTCAGTGGGTGGGATAGAGTAGCCACGAGTATCACAGATGTGCCGTTGTCGCGGCTCGAAAGTGCGCGACAATGGCGCTAGGGTCTTACAAAGTCAGCTTTTGGCGACTAATCTTAGCATTTGGACGAGTTACGTCGCGCACACCCATGACACGCAACGTGGATTACGGCGTAGCGGCTAATTCAAATACGCGCGGGTTAGTTGAGCCGTGGAGCAGGCAAGTTCGTACAACTCGTCTGGCCCCGCCCTTCCTTATTTCAAGGGAATCCTTGTTTGGGCTTCATCGACGGTTTTCTTTGCTTCTTTTTTCATTTTAGTCAACTCGGCATCCACAACTTCATTTCAACCGCTGTAACCCCATAAATTCGTTCTGGCGGTGTTGCTTTAAGTTCTCTTGCTTTGTGCAGTTTTGCGCATCTACCGGGTGCATATACAAACAAACAAATAGAGTACAAATAGTAAATAACTAAGTTTTTTGGTTTATATTTATTTCTAGGACGCCACTTGTAACGGTTTCGCCTGTTTTCTACTGCAAGACTTCAACAGCGGCAGTCCAACGCAAGGACCACATTTTGAACAGCAGGTATAAAATGGCAGTTGAACAGTGATTTCCATTTCTTCACATTTTTCTGCTCGCTCAGCAGTTGGGCTTTTGTTCCCACGCGAATCAAATTTGGTACCGCATCCTACTGTGGACA